ATTGTCGGCCCTAAGATCAACTCCCGGGCGGGGCAAAATTTTCTTTGTCGCTTTTTGTCTCCCGTTGGGAAGGGCCGAGCTCAGACCTCGGCCCCGGAACAGCCAGCTGGTAGCCGAGCGTGTTAAAGCATGATCGGTGGCAGATCGTGGGGATGGTCGGTAGTTCGAATCCCGTCTGCGATCATTTTTCCTGCTCTGCTGGCCAAGTGTCTTCGGGCGTCAGTCACAGCTGAGATCTGCATGCGGCCGAAAGATTATGTGTTCTGTATCGTTCCGTCGTGGCCAAGTCGGTAGCATCCGGGCCCGGTATGAACCTGGTCGCTGGTTCGAATCTCGGCCGGGGGAAATTTTTCGCGCTCCGCTGGCCATGACTTTACACCCGTGCGACACCTGATGTGATGGGTCGGTACGCAAACAGTCGCTGGTTCGAATCTAGTCGACGGAACCCTTTTGCCCCTCTGCCAGCTGTATGTTTCGGGGTGTGAGCCATAGCGGAGATAAGCTTCGACTCTTCTGAAGCCTCATTGGCTCAGTTGGTAGAGCGCGCGCCCGGGACGCGCATGGTCCTGGATTCGAATACTGATCGGGGCTCGTTTTTTCCCATTTAGTAGTTTGCGGCGCGGGGACCAAGGGTTAAGACAAAAGACCAGCCGACATGGGGAGGTGGACTTGACCGCCTACTCAGCAGCCCCCCCCCCTCCCCATGCCAAAAAACAACAAGAAAACGTTCGCCCCGACGAGGACTCGACCCCTGGGCCGAGGGTGTCTTCTGCACCAAGCCCTAGAGCGCTCGCCGCTCGGCTGTCGGCTCCAATTGTCAACGGGGGGTTCAAACCTCGGTCACCTGCTTCACGAGTCTTGGTCTCCCGTATTGCACGCGTTCAGGTCGGCTCAAGTCCACCTCCTCGACGCGCTGCAGCCCGGGTCGGCTCTTGGCCCGAAACACGGAAAATGGCCAGTAAAAGAGCCCCTTGGGCGCGCGGGGGTTAGGTTAGGCCCATTTTAGTGACCTTTTCCGTGTTTTTGGCCAGAATTCGACCCGGGCTGCAGCGCGTCGAGGAGGTGGACTTGACCCGACCTGCACGCGTGCAACACGGGAGACCAAGACCCGTAAAGCGGGACCGAGCTCTGACCTGTTCCTGACGAGGAGCAGCTGACAGCCGAGTGGCGAGCGCGCTGGTGTGTGGTCCGGACACCGTCGGCCTGGGGTTCGAATCCCCTTGAGAGATTCAAATTTTTCTTTTAGGAAACTTGACACTCGTGACACAACGTCGGTGTGAATCCGACTAGGTCTGCAGCAAGGTAAGGAGGTCGACGTCACCACCTACTCAGCAGGTCCCGAAAAAAAGTACACCCCCACCAGGATTCGATCCCCGGGCCGACGGTTTCCGGACGATACCCCAGCGCGCTCGCCACTCGGCTGTCAGCTGCTCCTCGCCACAGACAGGTCAG